CCCTTTCACTTTTCTTTATATCTGTGATTTCTTCCCTGAGATTTCCTATTTTCCTCATTTGTTTCAAAAAGTTTGGGATCTCCCACTGAAGTATTTCTATAACTATTTAAAAATATTTGTCATATAATTCTAACATCTGTCATTTTGCTGTTTTTATCTATTGATTGTCTCTACTTTCATTCAAAGTAAGATTCTTTTGGTTCTTGTATATAGAGTGATTTTTTTTTTAATTAAACCCAAACATTTTGGGTTTTATGAGATTCTAAACCCTATTTGAATTTTCTGGTTTACTGGCTTCCTTTGACACTGCTCCAGTGAAAGAAAAGGTTTCTGCTTCATTACTGCCAGGTGGAAGAAGTCCAAGTTTCCCACATGGCCTCTGCTGACACCTGAGGTGGGAAGGGGCTCTTCATTACTGCTGGGCAAGGGTTGGGATTCTGACTGCTCAGTAGGCCTCTGCTGATAACACCCTGGCTGTGAGGGGAAGGCATGTCTCATTACATCTCCCCTGATAGCCTCTACTGACACCATTGGTGGAAAGGGGCTACTCTCTTTACTGTTCAAAGATGGCAAAAATCCTGACTCTTCACTAGGTCTCTTCTGACATCATTCCAGTAGGGACAGAAAGAAGCACCTCTTTACTACGAGGTAGGAGTGAAGGCTAGGCTCCCCATGTGTCTCTAATGACAGTGAACCAGGGGAACAAGAGAACAGTAGTGGGAAGGTTTGTTACTGCCCGGCAGGGATAAAACTCCTGCCTACCTACTCAGCCTTCTCTGAAAACTACTCAGGCAGGGGGCTAGAAAGCCTAGTTACAACTTCATGAGAACAGATGTCTGGGCTCCCTACTTAGCCTCGGCTGGCATGAGTTAAGATGGGGGCCACAGTCTTTCTGTGGTGTTTGGCTAGAGCAGAATGGTTATTGCCTAAAAGTTTTCTGCCTTGCTAGGCTGTCCCTTTCCTGGTCTTTTGGCTGGAGACAGCAGGCTTTTCAATCTGTGCCTGTTCATTTCCAGGTTGCCAGCTTCTTCAGTTCCAAGTTTGGACTATATTAGGCGAAAAGAAAACCCAGGGAACTCACCCCATGTCATTCCTTGAGTCCTGAGGTCCCTAGTCTTTATGCCTTTTCTCCACCTTTCAGAGTCTTCTTATGTTTTATTTTATATATAATGTTCAAGACTTTCAGTTGTTTTAGCAGGAGGAATAGGGCAATGTACATCTACTCCATCTTCCTGAAAGCAGAAGTCCCCACTTTTTAAACTGGTTCCCACTATGTCCAACCACACAAATTCCTAGAAAAATGAGGGTAGAGTCTGTGGAAGAGATTTTTCTTTATGTGATGCTTACATATTTGGACAAACATGGACCACTCCACCATCCAAATGAGTTATGTGGCTAAGCCAGATATTTAAGAATGTCCAAATCATCTGTTAATTCAGGGTAGAACCTATGGTATAAATTTGTGCATACTAAACACTTGAAATGCTTATGATTCCATAAGTACTTATGAATTAAATAATGTTGCATTAAAAACTTTAAAACAATCATTAAACTATGTTTACTTATGGAACAGAAGTCTTTCACACAATCTGATCTTTCCAAAGACACTTATAAACCCAATTTCAGACTTCTGAATACATTTTGTGATAATAAAGATATTTAAATGTACTTACCTAATAATAGAATAAAAGTATATAAATAGAAAACGGGTCTAAAACAATGCCTACACAGAGTAGGCAACTCAATAAATGTTACATGACAAAAGATATACATAAAAATATAGTGTCGAAAATTTACCATTAAATAGACAAGCTTCTCCCTAGTTAATGTCAAACCTATGAGGCTATACCATTTTTGCTTAATTTGTGAAATATGCTGTCAGTAAAAATTAATACTTCCAATTTTTATCTATTATTAGCATGTATTCAGGACTATCTCATTATAATAATATATTCTCAAATGTGCTTAGCAATAAGCAGATGCAAGTTTCTTTGATTATGAAATTTAGAGAGATTTGTTTAGACTGCTCTAATCAATGAAAAGAAAAGGTTCTAGTTATCTCACAAATCATTAAAAAAAATTTTTAAAGGGTAAAAAAAGGAATTTTTGTTAAAATGGTAACAAATGTCCCACAGTAAAAGAAAATTACAGTTAAGTAAATTTCTCTACTACAGGAAACCTCAGGGCATTTAAAATAAAATATGTACTGTTAACTTCTCAAAGAGGATTACAGTCATACCATTTCCCAAATTTAATCAAAGAGGCCTCCTAAACTTCTATTAAATCCTGTTGGAGATGGAGTGTTAAAAAGAACTCAATCTGAGAGATAAGAGAATGGCAAAAGAACCATGAAACACTGATTCCCACTTGGCCAGGCAAAATGAAGACCAGCAATTTAATAAATACCACAGCTATAATGACTAAAATGTAATTCAATAAAGAAAATATCATTAAAAGCTATTTTAAAAACTGCAGGCGATTCTTAGCACTCATTTAAAAAGTAGTCTGCTATCAATCATGCTGAAAGATGACCATAAAAATTTATTATAAATGTCATAATGATAAATTAGCTAAGTGCTAATTCCATTCATATTTTAATCCGAATATTACTCTCAAGTTAAATTTGTTTGAACACAGAGATAAAACAACTCTAGAAACTGGATGTTTCAGATGAAGGTTTAAAAAAAAAACTTTAATTTTTAATAGAACCTCACACTTAATTGTCTGAGATTAAGCATCAGGTGTTAACCTCACGGTATACACGTATCTATTATATTGTGGCTCATTGAAAAGAATATACAGTAAACAGAACACAGAATTATCAATGTACGTGTAAGTATATACATGTGTTTATGTGTGTGCATATATCCAAGAAAGAGTCCGTTAATAAAAGTAAGAAAATAAATTTTAAGAGTTCAAGTCAAATTAAGCCAAATATTAAATAGTCTGAACGAAATTTAACTAGATTTTTTACAATCCACATTTATACCTAATTCTTTTTGAAAACACATAGAATTAACAAAATACACAATGGCAAGCAGTGATATAAAACTAATTTTAGATGGCTGTGTGATGCTTTCTGTGGCTTCAAAAGTGTAGGTTATAGGTTTTGAATTCAGAAAATAATGGGAATTTACTTACCTCTAACTAAAGTTCTCTGAAGGTAGTATCCTCCTTAGAACCCCTATCTTGGGTAGTTCACCTGCTATAATTTCCCTAAAGAGATTCCAGCAAAATCTAGCAAGTTTTAAGTTCCCTTCTGCAAGCCCTATTAGCGCATGCATGTGTGTTATATAAACTTGCTCACATAATTGCTTCATAGCTATAACTTCCAATTCCCACTGAATCAACACCACCACTATCCATGTATCAGTGGAGGATACTACCTTTGGAGAATGTCATTTAGAAATGTGTCTTTTTTCACTTCTCCAGAAGTATCCTCCAAATCACTCCATTGCTATCTCTATCACATACTTAAGAGAGTGGTGGTAAATCAGCAGGTGAAAAAATAATGACAAAAAGATTTAGCTAAGCAATTATACTTGCTGAATACTCAAATATATGCCAATATAACAAAACAAACAGCACCAGCTTCCTCAACATTCAATTAATATGTAAAAAAACTAAACTGAACATTTATGTGAAAAATCTTTCATAAAAAATACTTTCATAACCAAAGCAACGCAGAAAAAATTGTCTTTATCATCTGAGACTACCAAATATTTCCCTAGTATATTCTGCTAAAGTGCCAATATTAAAAACGATTAGGAAATAAGTATTAAAAGACAAGAATTTTTCAATATGACACTTCTACCTTAAACTAAAAAATAAAAATCAAAAATCAAAACAAAACAAAAATGAAAAACAAAACTAGCCACTTACACCAAGGCCAATCTTCTATACCTAGAATGGCAATTTACAAAGGGTACTATTAACAAAATTTCTCAAATCTATTCAGGAAAGGGGCTGAAACACAGTGCAGGAAAGAAGACTTAATCTTACACTATTCAGAAAAGGTCTTCTACTTTGGATTTCCATGGACTGATTCCATAACTTCTTTAATTTCTTGATAGCCATATGAAAGTAGGAGAAAAAAGCAAAGGGAAATAATTGTCCTAGAGGCTAGAGGAACAAATCATACTAGACGCACTATTTTAAAGGATAAAAGTATGGAGTAGCTTTAAAAACACTGATTTTTAGCTACAAACCACCATCAGCTTGATAACAACATAAGTCAGGCCCAAAATAAGATGACTCTGAAAGTCTCCCCTGGCTCCTAATAGATTCAGAATAAATGTTTCTGGACATTCTAATTTTAAAACTCAACTTAAACTCCTTTCCATGGCTCTCCTTTTGTGTAAGTAAATACAATAAAATACAATAATAAAATTATCAAAAAGCAATTAAGATATAGATAAGAATGAGAAAATCTTAGATAAGCTCCCAAGTGGATTCTCAGTATATAAATAATTAAGCTAATTTTAATCAATCAATCAATTTACATCTGATTCTTCAAATTACTGTGCTTCTACAATGCATGATTTTAAATTAAAGAATAGGGATGTTTCCTTTAAAAAATGTGGCCTCTGTCTCTCATAAAAACCAGAGGTTTTTTCCCCAATTTTAAAAAATATATGGAAATAGGCACACAAAACAAAAAGTACTTTCTGATACAAAAAAATGGTCACAAAACAGCGTTTATAAAATAGACTATTTATAGGGGAAAAGGATAAAGTGAGATAATCTAGTCATCTATCAGAAAGAATAAAATACTAAACCATGAGGCCATACATTTGCATTCACTTTCCTTTTTATACATGCACTATTAGGACTCACTGAAGGGTCAAAAATCTTCTAGATCTTGCTAGTTTAAGAGCAGGAATTACTAACAACCCAAGAAGGTGTATCTAGGATGATACTTACCTCACAATAGATTATACCACTGTGCTATTATGTATTCTGTGTATGGATACACAAGCAGTCAGCTGAAAGGTACACACCACACTAGCAAATGCTTGACTGGACCCATAAGGCCGGATGACCAATGGAATATCAAGATATGTGTCGATTCTCCAGCCCTCATAACCACATTCCAGACATCTCACGTAGTCCTTCAGCTTGCCTTGATATAGTTCATTTATAAGATCAGCCTAAAAATAAAAACATTAAAAAGTATTCCTTAAAATTCATTTTTAAAATACACAAAAACACAATAATACCTGCTTTTAAAAATAAATTTCGAAGGATATTCATTCTTTATTGCTGAAGTTGTGGAAAGCTTTAAGATTTATCTAAAAGTCTAGGGGCGCCTGGGTGGCTCAGTCGGTTAAGAAGTCCGACTTCAGCTCAGGTCATGATCTCGCAGTCTGTGAGTTCAATCCCCGAGTTGGGCTCTGTGCTGACAGCTCAGAGCCTGGAGCCTGCTTCAGATTCTGTGTCTCCCTCTCGCTGCGCCTCCCCCATTCTCTCTCTCTTAAAAATAAATAAACATTAAAGAAATTTTTAAAAAATTTATCTACAAGTCTATAAAAAATGAAGTTTTGACACAAATCAACTAAAAATCAATAAAAATAGATTAACACTAATTTAAGAATCAATGCACAAAAATTGACTAGTTCACTTCTCTTATCACTAAAAACTCCACTACTAAAATATGTTTTGTTGAAATCAGTTACCAATTTATCATACTATTAAGCCTCATATTATCTTTTCATTAGGATGAGAATACATCTATCATTTTAGGCATGTTAATACTTACATAGCTAAATAACCAGCTATTTTTACGGCTTTATACCTGCATGCCACCACTCTCACAAGAATATATTCTGATTTCTAAACTCGTATCTTCCAGCTCAAGGTGCAAATAAAACTTTAACTTTCAATACTAAACATAAAACAATTCTGAGGGGAAACATTATACTGCAATTTTTGTAATGTATAGAAGTTAAAAAAAAAATCTTCAACTCCATCTCCGTCAAAATATCCTCATTTAAAAGAATGGATCTCTCACTAAATCCCCAAATTTAGCCAAATGGGGTTCTTCTGGCCCAAAAAAAGGCAGTTAGTTAACTCGCTAAGTAAGGACCCTCCATGTGAATGTCTTGCTTCAAAATTCTTATACCAAAATTTGGGAACGCCGCAGGATTGCCTCAGCTGATCTTAATGGAATTGTTGACCCACAGAGAGACACAATAAGGGGAAGAATAACTTCAGACCTATGAAGAAGAAACTGCCCCTAATACCATTTACATAAAGTTACTAAAATACAATAGGACTATGTAGAGAAACTAGATCACTATGTAAACTTAAAATTTTTTCAGTATCTCTTAAGAATAGAAAAGAAAGTGTATTAGTCTACCTCTTCCATAAATTTATCTCTCTTCAAATATCTAGGACTTACATTAGCATTAAATTAGGACCCAACATCATTGCCTATACTAATACCATTTATATAATGAAGCCTTCTTCATTCATGTGCCCCAGTCATATTTGATTCTGTTTTCTACATCAGGGAGGGCATTTCTAAATGGTTCAAACCAGTGTTTTTCAATCAGTTTTGGTAACAACCCACAGTAAGAGAATAATTTACATCACAATCCAGTACATCTAACTGTAACAAAATTTGCACAAAATAATATTTATCGTTACTTTAGTGATGTTCTCTTATATTTGTCTATACTATTCCATTTTTTTAACTGTTGATGTTTATTAACTAAAATTATTTCATAACACACGAAAGGATCACAACTTCCAGTTTGAAAAACTCTGGCCCAAACCATCAAAATAATTCTAATCAGAGGGCAGACCCTCCGGGCTATCTTCCAGATTAGTATCCCTTTTTTATCCCTGTGATCCCCAGTCATTAGAGCCAGTATAAACCTTCTTCCTTACTGAGTTTTGAGCCCCACCCACCCAGTTCAACCTAACTCTTCATGTCACAGTGATATATCAAATGCTCTCCCCACCTCTAACATGTTCTTTTTCCATTGGAAGAAAAATAGAGTCACAGATTAACAGGAATCCTAAATGTCAAAGCATAACTCTTTGGTCAAATGAAGGTAATAATCAATATACTTAATCTGCTATAGATTATATAGTTTACTTAGTAAATATCTGAAAATACTGTTCAAAAATCATCCCCAACACACACACACACACACACACACACACACACACGAATTACACAGTTTTTAGTTAAAAAGAGATCATCTAGATCACAAAACCCAACTTCCTTATTTTAAAGAGGAGGAAACTGAGGTCTAAGGTGGTTTAATGAGGATCTGTATGACTCAGTTAATGTCCAAGTGAGAACCTAGTACTTTCAATTCCCCATTCAGTACTTTAACAACTGGACTATTCCCAAAGTTTTAAAACATTTCAATAGAATAGAAGTCACTTATGAATGATTTATTATAAGACATTCCCCTCAACCCAAGATGAATTACCTGCTCTGTTTGTTTCCATTTCTGTTCCAAAGCATCAAACATGACTCTGCACAGTTCTTGTACATCATGCTGCTGCCAAGCTATTTTAAGATAAAATTTAATTAAAAACAGCAACACATTTAGCATAACAAAACATCAATTTTCTGTTTAAAAGCAAACTGTCAAGAACATGGAAAAGTCTACACAAAATAATTCTAAATTAAACAAAGAACACAAACTATACATTATAGTGATGAAAAAGTAATCACAAGGAAAAGAATCAAGAGATCTTAGTATTTTATAAGTAACACACGCTTTATGGTGCTATGATATTTGCTATTTTTGTTATGTTTTACTGTAGAGTTAAGAAATATATTAAGAAAAATCTAGGACAATAAACTTTAAAAGTTTTCATTTAAGTACATAAAAGTAAAATTTAACCAAACTTACTTTACAAGAAAATTTTAATTGTTCAAAAATTTACCCTGAGAACTTAAATTTTAAAAACAAGTTATTTCTAAGTCCCAGCAAAAAGCAATGAAAAGGTTTATGGTAAAGTTAATTAACTGTTAATACATATTATTTATAATACTGTCTCCCAGAATTCCTTTGAATACTAGAAACACTTATCATTACAAGAGAATTAGTACCCTCACTACTATCCCATCCAAAGCTCCTTGTAACGTCTGTGGTTTCAATTGCTCTCTTTTTGCTGGTTTGTAACAAAACAAAAAGCCTCTGAAGTTGATATGGGATACTTGTCACTGGATCTTCTTCAGATTCTTCAAATTCCCATCTATTGAAATAAAATATTTGAAAATTAGTTATAAAATATTTTTATATTCTTAAAACATCATTAATGTTAACATCATATAATGCAAGACCTTTGAATATTAACTGAAGCTATTATTATCCAACAAAATAGTAGCCTTTCTCTAATTCATAAATTCAGAAGAAATTTAGACTTGAACAAAAAAAAGGCCTAAGAAAGCAACACAAATGAAAGGCAAAGCTCATCTAAAAGTAACCACAGAACTTGAATCTGATCAAGACTCTTGTCCTTATTATTAATTCATACAGGGAACAGAACAATATTAAATGACACTATGGCGTTCAACTAGCAAAATCCAAACTGTGGAAAAGTACAGGAAAAATGACATCAGTTTTCAATATATATCTTTTCAAAAATTAACTGTAAGGAGAAAAAAATATGGAAGGGGATTAAAATAGATTAAGACTCATAACAGTTTTACTGTACGGCTCTTGTTTGGATCCCGATTTGAACAGATTGTTTAAAAAAAATTATGAGGCAATCAGGAAAACCTCTGCACTGACCCGAGAGATAATTTACAGATGATGTGATGGGGGTGTGCTTCCAAATAATCAGAATGGAGAGTTTTCCATAAAAAAGACTGGTCATGAGTTGATAAAATCCAAAGCTGGGTGATGGGTACAGAGGGATTCATTACAATGTCCATTTCCACAAGTAAACTTAGATGATGAGCTTACATATGAATGTAAATATAGTGCTGTCTGAGCAACACAATCAATATTAAAAGTTCTAAGAATACTTTAAATATATATCTGCAATAATTTCAAGGATACTGTATAAGAATAGCACAAAAAAAGGAAAAATCAGTTAATTTGTACTCTGAAATGTCTTAAAAAATAAGTTATATATACCTTAAAGAAAATATACAAAACAAGGGCATAGTAAATGTATTATTAGATACTCACAAAAATAATTGTCTGACTTTTAGAGTTTATTTAAATATGGAATTTCTTTCAGAGAGCATTTTAAAATACCTAGTGTATATACTGTCTTTTATAAACATACACACACAGACACACACATACACACACACACACACACCCAACATATTTTAATTAGAAACAAAGTTTATAAGTTTAAAAAGATATCTTTGTTTCTTAAACTGAGAAGTGAAAAGAAAGGAGAATATGGTTTACATATTCGGATTATCTCAAAAAGCAGACAACAATTCTTTATAAAGATGTTAAAGCTAGGGGAACCTGGGTGACTCAGTCTGTGAAGCGTCCAACTCTTGATTTCGGCTCAGGACATGATCTCAACAGTTCATGGGATTGAGCCCCAAGTCAGGCTCTGCACTGACAGCTGCTTGGGATTCTTTCTCTCCTTCTCTCTCTGCCCCTCCCCTGCTTGGTCTCACTCTCTCTCAAAATCAATAAATAAATAAACTTAAAAAAAAATAAAGATGTTAAGGCTATAAGTGAGGGAAGCTTAAATAAAGTAAGCTTATCCCAAATGTAAATCTTATTAATTTTATCCTTTGCTAGTCTACATTTCTGGTTCTCTCTCTGCACAAATTTTTCATATGCCAGTCTCTCAAAAGATCTTTTTCTTAAATACTATTCAAGGTGTGTCTTTATTAAGTGAGAAATGCCCCAAACTTTACAAATAAGTGTAAGAAGGTAAATTAGATTTTATTAGTTAAAACCTATACTTTCATTCTTAAATCAATTTTATTTATAAAATCTTTTTGAATACTCACTTATATAATGCATTCCTAAATTCAGGAGTCATAAAAAGTGTCTGCAAAAGGCTGTTCAAGTAGCAAGTCATTGCTTGGTTTACTAATCCCACATATCCTTTAAAAAGAAAACACAAATACACATAAATCAGCATTTACATTAAAAATAACAAAAAGAAAGCTTAATAAGAATTGAATGCACAGTGAAAACTGAGAGACTACAGTTACTAAATTGGAAATTATTTTAACTTTTCAATAGCACCTAAGAAAGACTTTTTTTCTAAAATGTGCTCTATGTAAAAACCTTGCTTCGCAGAACAAGTGAGGATATCTTGTTTAATGTCCAGAGATATGCATGGGTATTATCTAGCATTTAATAAAATTTAAAGAGGAATACTTCAATATAGGTATGTTTAACTGACATAAAAATAACCTTTGTTCCCCAAATTTACTTTAATGATCGGGGCGCCTGGGTGGCGCAGTCGGTTAAGCGTCCGACTTCAGCCAGGTCACGATCTCGCGGTCCGTGAGTTCGAGCCCCGCGTCAGGCTCTGGGCTGATGGCTCGGAGCCTGGAGCCTGTTTCCGATTCTGTGTCTCCCTCTCTCTCTGCCCCTCCCCCGTTCATGCTCTGTCTCTCTCTGTCCCAAAAATAAATAAACGTTGAAAAAAAAAATTTTTTTTTAAAAATTTACTTTAATGATCACACACCCAAAATAGGAAAACTGAACTGAACCAGCTATCTCTTGCTATCAGGCCCTATAAACCAATTCATGCCAAGAATTAATAACATAGGAGATAAATTCATTATATAAAAACTCGGAGTGACTTCCTCTATTTTAACAAGTCCATGAAGTATGAGATTCTATACATCAGCACACTCTGCAAGAGTAACTATAAAGTAAAAAGAGAAGTCAAAAGTAGGGAAGAATAGAGAGAGGGAGGGGGGAAGGGAGGAGGGAAAAAAGGAGAAGCATATAGGAACTTAAAATTTAAGTGAATGATTAGAATTATTCAGCTTTATAAATCTGACTGGACATGGCTACCACTGTTGAGAACATTTCTGGAATGTCTCTTTTGAAGTAGACTTCAAGCCCAGTTTATGAGATACACATACACAAAAAAATCAGTCTCATCATTTTAGTTTACCTCATTATGTGAAGAGAATGTGGTAAACACTTTGCTTAATAATTAAGCTTACTCACTCCCACTTAATACTAAATGACTTGGGTGTTTCAAAAAAACAAAAAACCTTCAATCTTTTCTCAGTAGATGCTGAAGGTGTTCACTGAAGCCTTTTAAAACACTTTTTCAGCTTCCCAATTATCAAAATGTCTTGAGAAATAGTAGGCTTTGTGGATAACTATATTGCCAAAAATGATGAAAGGACAAACAAATATGCATGCTAAGCCTTGGTCAATTGTGGAAAAGAGGAATAGACTCCACATTATCTGCATGGTTCTAAGAAGATATCGAGTAGCTACTCTGGACTACGGTTCAAGTTTTGATTTCTAATGCCTTTCATATTTAAGAATACTGTGTTTATATATTCTATTCTACATTGTTATAGAATTATAAACTACTTCAATTCCTAACCACCCCCCACCTGAGCTGTTCTCATAGCAGCCTGTCTTTAATCCATATCAGAGGCTTCAGCTCACTGTCCAGTAATGACCTATTTGCTTGTATGTCTTCCCCATCAGACTGTGAAGGGAGGGATCAAATCTGATTTATCTCTTTATCCTACTACTTAACACAGAAGCAGGTGAACTTAAGGGGAAAGTGCATATGACTTACAAATAACACAAGTCTATAGGATATGTAGCCTGATTATTCATAATGAAGCATTATTTCATTCTCAGTTATTATAAACAGATTCTTCCCCACAAACAACAGTGCTTTGGCCATGAGACCAGGTTGTTCTACTTTTCCCGGCTGAGGCTGCCTGGAATTTCCCTTCTTTTCCATCTCCTTCCCCCAATCCCTCAACAGTGAAGATGACTACTACTACAGTCCTTTGTGTACCTATAGACCAATCATGTATCATTTATATGTGACCTTGTTTCCCTTCCCTGGGCTTAAAAAAGGGGTGGTAGGAGAAGAGGGTTTAAAGGAAGGAGTAACAGCACTTAATTATTGCCATTACTCTTTATTTTGTCATTAGCAATAAAAATCATATAGAAAAACCTATGGTCCTTTGTACCTGATTTAGCACCATATTTTGCAAAGAATGCAGTGTCTCACATAAAGGCACTATTTTCCAAAACTATGAAGATTTCAGTGATACTAATAAAAGTGCTACTGAATAACAGAAATCTTGTCATTAAGCACTGTCTAAATCAACAAACTTAAATGACAACTGTTACCATGTGGGTCCTATATCTGAAATAGCTGTGAATCAATACCGTAAGTGTGAGCTAGTAAGGGAAAAGATGAAAACATGCCATTCTGTGAGGGGCACATGCAGAAAAAAATCGTGAACAGAACCGGCAGGTAACAAGGTAGGCATCAAATAGGCCAAATGAAGTAGGATGTAACAGGCCAACTCCTGGAGCTGATAAAATAAAAGAATTCTTAAAGAAGCCAGCCAAGGACAGTTATCATGGATTCAGATAATGGAAGCACCCTAGTTACAAAGTTTCTAATCATCTGCAAGTCCTCATTAGCCTTCAATCCACTCCTTGCCCCTTAATGTTCATACACACAATACCCCATCCCTGTCCACCCCTACCACCTCCTGTCAAAAACAGTGGCTGGCTACGGGAAAGTTGGTAGGCAGGGGAGACAGGAAAGAATACACCAAATCTCCAAACCTCTTGCATTATGGAGAAATGTGTTCCTAGAGTCCTGAGTCAAAATCATGACAGCATCTTCCAATAAAAACATTTGGTACGTGGTACCAAGATTTACAATAATTTAAGGAAAATGAAATTTCAATAACAAAATTATTTTTGAACAACTCCTTTAGATGCTTATAGACTATTTTAATTCAGAAAGGCAGTACCCCTAGAACACTAGAGGGAAAATGTAAAGGTAGGGAAAAGGAAGGGAGTAGAGGTGTGTGAGAAACAATAATTGGAAATGAAGGCTACCGTTACATGACAATGTAGATCAAAGGCCTCTAAAATTTTTTAAATTAAATTTCAACATAGTAATTCAATTTCTGAGAATTTACCCTAAGGGAATAATCAGAGATAAAAATAAAAACTTATGTACAAGAATGTTCATCATAACATCAGTAATAATTAGACAGCTTAAATATCTAAACTATACAATGGAATACTGTTTTTAAATGCTTATCATATAGTATTAAGGAAAAAATACATACAAATCAAAAAATGCTCGTAACCTGATACCCCCATTTGCAACAGAAATAAGCAAAATCACTATAAGTAGTTTCTGCTAGTAGTACTGTGATTTTCACTTTCTTCATTTTAAAGTAGGACAATGAACATGTATTACACTTGCACAATCAAAGAAAGAACTTTTTTTTTTAACGTGTAAGTTACTCTCTAGGAATTTATGGGCATCATAGAGCCATAGAATACATAGCACAAGGCAGGAGTTCTGTAAATACTCCTATTAAAGGACTAAGTTGGTTGTGAGAATACAAAGCAAATATTCCAAGAATCCTAATTTGTTAAATCTGAAACTTTCTCAAAGTATTCCAACTATCTCAGAATAATCTAGGGTGCTTATTTAAAACAAAATGCAATTTATCCAACCAGTATTCTGGGGAGTAATGCCCTGGAACCTACATTTTTAACAAGTATCCCCAAATGATTTTTAAAGAAATAAAAATCTGAAAATCACTACTCTAGACAGTGTAATGATAAACAGCTTTATTACCTCCAATTATCTGAAACAGAAGATAATTTTGCATTCTTTGATTCCTGGTACATGACTGCAAAAAGGTCTATGGATACAAATGATCCTAAACACCAAATACAACCAACTTTTACTGGTATTTCCAGAAAAAAATACACGATTAAGCCTGTACAAATGATCAGCTATAAGGAAATTATTCTACATTTTAATTACAAAATATAGTAAAATAGAAGATTATAGATCCCATTAGAACACAATTTGCAATGTAATGCTATAATTTTATTCTTATACTATGTATTTCATATAATATTTAAAATCATCTCTGTTTTGAAGTTCTTTTTTTTTTTTTTTTTTAATTTTATTTATTTTTGAGACAGAGAGAGACAGAGCATGAGCAGGGGGAGGGGCAGAGAGAGAAAGGGAGACAAAGAATCGGAAGCAGGCTCCAGGCTCTGAGCTGTCAGCACAGAGCCTGATGTGGGATTCAAACTCACAGACTGTGAGATCATGACCTGAGCTGAAGTCGGACGTTTAACCAACTGAGCTACCCAGGCGCCCCTGTTTTGAAGTTTTAAGAGTAAAAGTTCTCAAGTCACACCTAGCATTACCAGCTGTGCAATCAAAGACTTCTTGGAAGCCCAGTTTCCATTTCTTTTAACATAAATAATACTATCTATTGCAAAGGTTTGTTGTAGGATAAAATGTTATGTAAAAGTACCCAGATTATATTTAGGCAATTAACCAATCTTATATATACTGAGAAAACTGAAAAAATTCAAAAATCTTTATAATGTTCAGAAAAGAGTTAACAGGAATTTTAAAATTACATGATTAATTTCAAACATACAATTTGATTAAACTACAAGGTGACACAGTAGGTCTAATAAAATAAGCCTAGCCCAGGGGCGCCTGGGTGG